ATCTCATCCAAAATTGGTGTTTCCAATTTCCTTATATAACAAGGCTTGAATGTTGTGGAGGAAGTAGCCAAAAACCAAGGAACCAAGAAAGATCAAAAAGCAAGAGACCTATAACCTGTAAGGTTAAGAGGTTATGACCCTAGGGCCCTGAAGTAAGGTGGGAAGTCTAGAAAGATGTTTTCAGGTACATTTAGGGAACTAACTTTACAGGGCTGTTTGAAAAGCCACAGAGATAGAATCTAATGCTTAGGACAAGATTACTGGCATGAATACCCTTTACAAAGATCATAGGGATCCATTCAAAACCAACCTGCCTCTGTTGCAGAAAGGAGCTTTACCCTCTCTTTTCGCTGTTTATAATCAGCATTTGTCTACCCTGAAAGTACTTCTTTTAACTTGTTCATCATTGTCCTAAACCTTTGATACGGCGCAGTCAGACTGCAAATTAGAAGGAAAAATATATGTGATTAGATAACCACACTGAATCACATAGACATCCAAACAATGGTGCTAACTGCAACCTAAATTTGGTTGTGATAGCTCTTTAAACTAAGAGAGGAAAAATGCAGTCAATATACTATCATTAATGTAACACCACACACTGGCTTCCTCCCTGTTTGCTCTAATATTTGATAGAAAGTGGTTGTAGCTGCAGCAGCGTGGATAGAGTAAGACTGGCTGGTTGCACATGTATTATACAATAGAATACCAACACATACATATATATTATGTGATTGTGGGCTTCCCTGGTGGCTCAGTGGTAAGGAACCTGCCTGCCGATGTAGGAGAGGTGAGTTCGATCCCTGGGTCGGGAAGATCCCTTAGAGAGGGAAAATGGCAACCCACTCCAGGATTCTTGCCTGGGAAATTCCACTAACAGAGGAGCCTGGTGGGCTATACTCTAGCAAGTCCACAATGTATTATGGATAGGAAAAGTTTTAAGAAACATAAAAATAAGATGCAGAACTGCATTAACTAAATTCAGGAAGGACAGCTTCTACCGAACACTTTTTTTTCACTAAGAATTAAAAGATAGAGAAAATGTTTGTTTCAATTATATATTATTAGTCATCAGAGTATGGTAAAATACATTAAAAGTCTTTGGACCTTGTAAACATATATTAAAGACATTAGTCATCAGGGAAGAATCAGTGATTTCAAAGTATCATTATCTTAAAAGCTTTAGAAACATGCACCTTTCAAACTTCCAATTAAGTTAAACTAATCTGCATCAATCTAAGGAAACATTTAGACTCTCAAGAGTCAGGAAATTAAGCCACTAGTTCTTAAATTCAGAGCACACCTCTGTCTTGCTTTTGTACTTAACATTTGTAGATAAATGCTAAGAAAATGCTCGAGACAAACAGTGCATTCAAATCAAATCAAAAGTGCACAGAAATGAAAAAAAGTGGCCAGGTTAATGGAACCAAAGGGACAGGAATACAATGATAATTTGTCAAAACACCTTTTCCATACTCACTATCCTGCGAAACATGACTGATCTACTATAGAAACTAAGGTAATAAATAGTGCTTCCCTCCCAAAAAACTTTTAGCATAAAATGGCTACAGATATTTTAGAAGAAAACATTTAAATGACTGAATGATTTGTATGTCAGCATTTCCTACCCTTTATTTACCTTCATATCAGCAAACACCTACTGGGTACTTTCATGTCTAAGACTCAGTGGATAAAACCATGAAGAAAACCCAGTTTTATTCTTTTATTCTCTCTTGCCCTCAAAATGCTTAAAATCTAGAATGACAAAGACAGAGAAGACAGACTCCTAACATACTCCTAACTCATCCAACACACACATTTATTACTTCTCCAAGGAAATATCTGAGTAAAACAATCTAGAAACTGTCAAAATATCTAATAAAATATTGATGCTTGAGTGACACTTGCTTTGATATTGCAGAGCCAGAGTCAAGTGGGAAGTAAGTACAATTACACAGCAGATCTGGGTAAATCTGGGCTCAACAGAGCTGATAATTCAAGTCTTCTGCAGGTCTTTATCCAGCTTGGCTTAGCACTCTTCTCAGGATAGGGTCTGCTGTATAATGCAGCTGGGAAGTGCGTACCTGCTGAGGGGCCGCCGCCATCCTCCAGCTGTGATCTCTACTACACTGGCAGTGAGACGAGAAGAGGTATCTGAGAAGCTTACTGAAGTTCCTTCTAGATATGACATTCTATGAGCAAAGCTAAAATGTTTCTTTCAGTTTGATCATTCCAAGAAAGAAAACACGCTGTTTAGCTTCTGTCTCAGACCAGCACATTCTCTAAGACAATGTCTCAATTTTGGCAAAAGACCCTAATTTATGTCTCTTTATGATTTCCAATATCATGAGCTCATCCTATACCTAAAAAAAAAAAAAAATGCATTCATTATGTAAGCTTTCTCTTAAGCAAATGGAAGGCTGGAGAGTAGGAAAATGCTGTTTGCCATTCAATCTGGCGTCAGCAGAACTTTCCATTATTAAGAAGGAGGCTGCCCATTTTTAGATAATGAGGACAAATTTTTCATCATCATTGTGGTGCCTTCATTTCACTATGTCACTCTGGAAGGGTCTGAACGTCCTATACTCTCCACCTTTGCCTCTTGTAGCATCAACAGGTTATAAAAATAATACTTTGTCTCATGGTATGCAACCTTAAGATGAACTCGGGGAAAATGGTATTCGTTATTCTGTTGGATATATTAGATGTGCAATAACGATGTATTATAAAGTAAATCAAATTACAAAAATGAACCCTATCCCTTGGATAAAGTTCTGGGAGTGGGCCAACACCACAATTATTATCTTTCCTAGCATTGAATGTTCTACATAAGTGTTTGGAAGATGTAAACAGGACATAAATCTGAGATCGGTTCTTCAATCTGTCTACAAATAACCATGACATTATATATAAACTATACTTTAGAGCATATATGCTTTCTGTTTAAGCAGTTAAGAAGTGTATCAGACACTATGATAAACAGAAAAAACGGAGCGTGAATACCCATAAATGCAAGCCTTCCGTCTCGGAAAGTCTTCACTTATTTGATTAAGTTAGGTGAAAAACAGAGCAGTCATGCTTGTAGCCTTTCTTCCTTTCCCCTTTCCTCTCCTCTTTTCATTTCTAATGCGAATCGGAAGTCTATGTGGAGCAGTCTGGCTAGCCCCAGTCTAACCTCCCCATCTGGAAGGGGACTAACCAGCCTTGGGGCTACTTCCAACCCTTCCCAGCTGTTGGGTTGGGGTTTTTTGTTTTTGTGGGCTTGAGAAAGCATATTTATATAAATGATTGCCATATCCTTTGCCAGCTGTTGACCCTGCTCTTGTCCCGGCTGGGGCATGGTTTTCATTTTTAGCGGCCACAGACTGGAACTGACCCTGATAGAGTTAGCACGCTATGCAAACAGCTTTACGCGCTATTGCTGTGACAGTTCAGACAATGGATGCACAGTGTAATCCAAGGGACCGGTGTTTCCCTTTGGGCAAATGTCACAGAATCCAGAGCTGGAAGTATCAGTTGAAAAAATAAATTCTGAGATGCACTGTGTTATGGAACAGCTTCTCGTCAGTTATTCAGACTGCAGAGATTTCGGCTAGTGTCATAGCAGGGATGTATCAGCAGCAACAAATGAGTTTTCTCTTATCCACCTATGAATCTGAGAAGTGCCCTAGATAGATCTGCAGAGGCAGGGGTCTCTATAGTTATATGAGAGGTTAAAAAAGAAAAGCTCTATTTTCAGTTTTAAACCTATGTACAAATGCTTCTGATGCTAATGTCCATAATTTTAAAAAGGAAAAAAAAAAGGTCCTTGTACCTTAATAGGACGAGAAGATAAAAATCAGTTTGGGCTTTTGCTAATTATTATGACCTACATATACAATCTTTCCTAAAGATCCAACCTGATCATTTCTTAGGCATATTACCAACCAGGAAAAAAAAAAAATCTACATTTAATCTGTGGATAACTGTAGTCACAGCAAACTAGAAAGTTTAGAAATATTATTAGGGAGAGTATAGTTGGGGGAGGGGCCCCGGAGGGGCAAATATTCCATAATGGATAATGCATCCTGAACAACCAGTTTTCATCTGCAGCTAAAAGAGAACAAGAAAATAAACAGCCAATTTTTACAACTTTCATAAATTTTCTTAAGTCCTTCTGTCCACAAACACAAATGTATATGTGAAGAATAAAGAAGTTTAATTAAAAAGAAAAAGACTGTTAATCCTTAAAATGATACACTTTAAGACTTCTAAATTTAATAATTTAGAAGACTTCTAATATTTGATACTTTACAGGTCAGTCATTGCAACAGATTATTATTTTGAGAGTCTAATTGTAAAGAGAGAACAGCAAGACAGCTAGCTTGTCAGAAAGAAGTCCTGTATTATGTTCCCTCTCTCTGCAAGCCTGCAGGCTGGCTGGCTATGGCAGATGGAGTCTGCCATACATAACTGTAATTAAAATGTGAACCCCATCTTAGAGGTCAGAATAGACTAGTTGACAAACAGGGAAGCCGGGAGATGGAAAGAAGAAATATTTCCTGACATAAGCATTTTCAGTCTTTGAAAAACAATCCAAAAGGAAATATAGCCTATGAATTTAAGCGTCACATACTTAGTATATCTTTAAAAAAAAAATCCTCAGAAGCTGGAGGTCTGGAATTGCTTTAAAGGCAGCTCAGAATTTCAATCAGCTTTAGCACAATGAAAATTTCAAGTGCTGGGGGAATTAACTGATGGGATATTTGAAGCTTCTATGAACTCTGATTAACTAATGACAAAATCTGTGAAATCATAAGGTGGTATTTTTTCCTCTCATGCAAATATATTTGTAATAATGGGGAAAAGAAAAATAAAACCATATATTGCTAACAGGAGATTCTGACTGAAAATTTTCATACCATTGGTACAAGCTAACAGCACAATCTCCATATTATTTTGTAAGCAGAGTATGACTAGATTTTTAATATTATATCCCTGTGTTTTACATTTATTTTGATCACTGATGTATTGGGGGCTTATTCTACCATCTTATTTTGTAAGATCTGTTCTCCCTTGCTTATTATGACACTGATAAGTTTTTTATAATCATTTTTTTCTCTATACGTTTGTATGCTATAGATTACATTTCTGTTAATGGTTTACCCTTAATTTTTTATCACACTATATACAAATATAAAAATCCCTAAGTTACTCAATATCACAATATTTGTCCAAAGTATGCTTTAATTGCCACTGAACATCCTCTCAGTTTCTTTGTCATTATTGTCTGGCATTTAAGTTTCATGAACGGTATTGTTATCATAACATGCAGTTAACTGCACATTACTCTGCACTCACATTTTCATGATGAAATACATCTTTCAAGGATATCTTCTTCCAGCAAGAACAAGTCCAGTCAGTAGTAAACACTTACTACCCTGTGAAAATACTAAATGAAAATTTTAGCTGGGTATAGAATTGTACTTTTGCTTAGCACTTTGGTGTATTGCTCCATCGTCTTCTAGCATCTAAAGTGCTCAAAGAGAGGTCTACTGCCTATCTAATTTTCATATCTATTTAGGGAATATATCTGTTCTCTCTGATAACTTTTAAAAATCAGTGGTCTTCAGTTTTACTATAAAGTATGTAGATATGAATTTATTTGTATACTCAGCTCAATACTCAGTTATACTGATGGCTAAATCTCATTTATTCTAGAAATTCTAGATGTGAGCGTCACTTCTTGGTCATTTTCTCTATTTTATTTTGGAACTCTTACTAGTTATATACCGGAGTTTCTGAACTCCTTATTTTTTTAGCTACTATTTATTAACTATTATTTCACTTTTTTTTAATATCTCTGTGCTGTTTTCTAAGAACTACTATCCAAAAATAGTCTAAAACTGTTATTGAGTTTTAAGTTTTCAATATCTTTATTATTTTATTGTTACTACTATTTAGCTTTGCCATGTCTCCTAAATTTTCTTTTCTATTTTTTCTGTTTTATTTTTCCAATAGTTTGCAATCAAAGTACAGACGTGTAGAGAGATGCGCCACGGCTTCGGTAGTGACCGCCTCTCTACCGGGTGTGAGCTTCGCCAGGCCCTCCCCCAGGAGACCGCTGCAGTCGGCCAGCTCCTGCTCTTTGGTAACCATGTGTGACCGAAAGGCTGTAATCAAGGATGCCGATATGTCGGAGGAGATGCAACAGGACTCAGTGGAACGTGCTACTCAGGCATTGGAGATATATAATACAGAGAAGGACATTGCGGCCCATATCAGGAAGGAGTTTGACAAGAAGTACAACCCCACCTGGCACTGCATCGTGGGGAGGAACTTTGGTAGTTATGTGACACATGAAACCAAACACTTCATCTACTTCTACCTGGGCCAAGTGGCCATTCTCCTGTTCAAATCTGGTTAAAAGCATGAACTGTGCCACACACCCAGTGATCCATCCAAAAACAAGGACTGCAGCCTAAATTCCAAATACCAGAGACTGAAGTCTTCAGCCTTGCCTAAGGGAACACCTCCATCTTTGAACCTTTATTTTGTTTTGTACAGGGCGTTCTCTGTACTAGTTTGTGGTTATAAAGCAATTAGTAAAACAGCTTACATTTGTATTTATTTTCTATTCCATACCTCTCTGCTCATGTTTTTTCTCTTCAAAATCCATTCCTTTAAAGAAATAAATCTGTTGAAGTGTGCGTTAAAAAAAAAAAAGTACAGACGTGTAACATCATCTTTATTCAAAGAGTTCCTACAACCAACTTGTTAGTAGTCTCTAAGTCATCCACCTTTTGATTTTCCCTTAAGCCAAACAGCATTATTTTTGCTATGTCACAGATACTTATATACTGAAGCCAGGCTGTAAATTTCTTATATTCAAATGATTTCTTATAGTTTTTAATTATAATTAATTTCTTATACTTAATTACTAAAGTAATGAGTGAAAATATTCAAAAACATTCTCTTAAGTATCAAAAGAAATGAGAAACATCAAAGAAATGCAAACCTAAGGCAAAAGATACCACTTGTGAATACTGTATTGCCAAACTCCTAGAGTTAAGACAGAGTTAAGAGAGAGTTAATAAAGTAAAAAGAAATCATTTCTTACATGGCAGTGAAAACCTGACAATTCGTTTGAAAAGTGATTTGACCAATATATATTTAAAAACCCAAAGAGAATGTATACTCAATAGACAGCATTTCTACTTCTAAAAATTGATTGTGAAGAAACAATAACAGATATATACCAAAATATATAAGGAATTCTTTGTTTATAAAAGCAAAAAACCAAACCAACAATAGCACAACAAACAAAAGCAAAGGGATAAACTATTCATTAACATGAGACTGGTTAAATAAGTTATGGAATACCACACAGTCACTTTAAAAATGCATCCATATACACAAAAGAGAGGCAAAAAGTTATACCAAAATGTTATCTCTGGAAGTATGTTAATGGGTAACCATATTTTCTTTTGTAGTTATGGTATTATTGATATAGGACTATGTATGTCTATCTCTGTAAAAATTATGTAGAGATGGGGGTATAATTATTCCTAAATGTACAGAAGGCAAGAGTGATCTGAGGCCAAGGAACTAAATCCCTCAGTTGATTGCCTATAAATGCAAATATATCCCCACTTGCCCAAGGTTATCTCTTCTTATTACACAAATCTGAGCTCTCCTTCTTTCAGCACCTCCAATCCAATATCCTCCTTGATTGGTTCTCAGCCTTTTGGCTAAGGTCAAGTGCAATCTCCTCCTTGTTTAGGATCTTGCTCTTTCAGGCATCCAATCTCTCTTCCATTTCTGATTCATTCCTCATTTCTGCATTTTTCCCTTCAGACCATAAATTTGCTTAAGGTTTTTAAAGGAAAAAATAAATGTTCTCTTGAAAATGACATCAAAAAAGAGACATCCCATGTCCTGTTTTCTCACTTCCTATTAATTCCTATTCACATCATAGTTTGTGGCAGTGTGGCTCTCATGTTTACTGCTATATTCAAGTTGCCCTTGCTAACACCTCTCATGATTTGCCAGTGGCTAAAGTCAATATATATATTTCTATCCTTGTCATCCAGGACGATCGCACAACCCTATATTTAATGCCACTGCTGACTGAAAACCCCACACCCACTCCGTGACTTCTGGTGGCACTGCACTTTGTGAGTTTTAGTCTAGATCTTTCTCAGCCCTTTCTGAACAAATCACCCTTTGTAGGCCTATAATATTTTGCTGATTTTCAGGTTCTTGACCTCCCCATCTTTCTTACTGCTTACACTTTCTCTTTCATCTACACTGATAACTTCCAAATTTTTACTTAGGGCCAGGTGGGCTGTCTTGGCTGTCTCAAAAGTACATCAATTTCAACATTCCTAAAATTACAAGTATTAAGTTCCCCAGTCAACTGCTCTCCTCTTATAGCCTCTCTTCCATTCAATCAACACAGACAGAAACCTGGGATTCATATGAAACTCCTCCCTCTTCCTCATGCTTCATATCCAATCATCGTGCCTGACAGTTTTTACTCTTCAACACTTCTCAACTTGTTTTCCTACTTCTCTTCATTCTTCTCCTTTCATTTCCACTTACCACTGCCCTAGTTCAGGTCAACACTCTAAGTGGTCTCCCTGACCCCAGTCTTAATCTTTTTTCCAAATCTGCCTTCTCTGAAGCTACGAAATTGTATTTGAAATGCTAGCCTAACTATATCACTCATCTTCTGCTTAAAATCCTTGCCCATTCCTTACAAAATGAAGTCCAAACTCCTTAACTAACACACACACTGTTCAGAATTCATCTCTCACAACTCCCTGCCTAGGAATTTATATTACGACAACCTCTGTATGAGACCTTGAAAGATACCATGGGTTTTCTTGCCTCTATACCTTCAACTTATACTATATTCTCTACCTGGATTGCTACCTCCTCATCTGGGGTGTCATATCTCTAAAAAGCTTTCCTTAAATATTCTCTCCCTCAACTAACTCCAAGCATGGAACAGAACTCAGCAACAAAGATCATACCCTTTGAAGTCTGCTGTTCTCTATGGTATAATACGGGGCTTTCCAGGTGGCGCTAGTGGTCAAGAATCCACCTGCCAAAGCAGGAGACCTGAGAGACGCGGGTTTGATCCCTGTGTTGGGAAGATCCCCTGGGGGAGGGCATGGCAACCCACTCCAGTATTCTTGCCTGGAGAATCCCATGGACAGAGGAGCCTGGCAGTTTACATTCCATAGGGGTCACAAAGAGTCAGACATGACTGAAGCAACTTAGCACAGCATGCATAGTATAATATGATTAAAAATCCAGTTGGTTTTCATCTCTTCCTTATCACAGGTTTCATATACTTGAAGTTTTCTATGTATGTACATTACTTTCCTCTCCTTCTTTTACCCATTAAAGCTTGGTACCGCACTTTGAGAGGTCTGTATTAAGGACTTCTCCCTGTGTACTTCACCTTGTACAGATAGGGGATTCACTACATACTTATTCAGGGGCTGAGGGTGACTCCTAAGGTTAGAGAGAAAAAGAAAGCAAATCACCTATAGCAACAGGCCTTTAAAAGTAAGTAAAATCTCCTACTAGTAATTGAATCAGCAATGTCATAAGAGAAACAACTTTGTTACAGAAGACCTAACATCAACTTAGCTTCCAGAGCAGTCTTGTGGTTCATATCAGAATGTAAACTAGGAATTATGTGGAAATTCTCATGCGGAAATTCCACAGAGAATACTTATTACACGATGACTAATAAAACTACATTATAAGAGGTGATCTTTTTGCTGAAGAGTAGAGAGAAAAAGAATGTTTCAAATACATGGCATCAACTAAACAGGTCCCTAAAGCTAAGCAACAATAACAAAACTTGCCAGTTTAAGAGTTGGATACTGTTTATTAGCAAGAATAGCAAAAAGAAAAAAAGCCAAAATGGTTTAGGGAAGAATCCATCCCTGAAATACTAAAATTCTGCTTTGTATTGATTCATATGTTTTGGGTTTTTTGGTATGCATATATGTCGGGGGGGTGGTATGCAGGAAACAGATCTTAAGATGTCAAAAATAGTTTTTAAAAAATAGCTGTATGCACATGAGGAAATGAATGTTAAATGTACAAAATTTTTTAAATGTTAGAAAAAGTTCACACTGCTTCATGCACCAGGAAAAGGGGCCAGAAAGAGATCTGGATAGAGAATTTCTTTTTTAATTTTATAAAATTAAAAAAAAATTCAAACGAGAAAGGAGAAATTCTTCTAAAGTGGGCAAGATTAATTTGGCATGTTATACAAATAGGAGGAAATCTGCTAAAAAGAAAAAAAAGAGGGAAAAACTTAGCTGCTAATCTTAGGTTAATAGTAAATGACCCCATCCACTGTTAACCTCAAAGACTGACCTCTTGACCCACAGCCAGTGGCCCTGTTCAGAAACATGTTGCCACCAGAGTAAATAAAAAGAGAACATAACGTGCTGAAACTGTTACTGCTAATGACAAGTGACACACACTTCATACTGCCAATGAGCAAGCCGTCAACAAATAACTCTAAACGTGTGCCAATACTCTTCTAGACTGTAGTTTCCTGTGTTTTTACATTTTTTAGTTATTTATTTATTATGGAAGAGGGAGGGTAAAATTATTATTCTGATCTCTTAAGGATTTTAGAAGGAAATTTTTTAAAGTACTGATTATAAAAGTAAGGGGAAAACCACATGGGTAGATGGGCTGATCATCAGCACTACTCAATAATTCACATCCACGCTCTTTAACTAGCAAGGTCCATGCTAAAAGACAAATGGTAAAAGAGGCATTTCACGGACATTCCAAAATTCTGGCCTAGAACACAGGCCACAGACATAAAGTCTAGATATAGGAAACTTTAAAAGCCTGGTATTCAGAGCATTTTAAGTTCTTAGAGTCTCTTGGTGAAGGACCGATCTGTTGTGATAACACTTAAAATCTGAGGTTTGATTGATGTTGGCAGGCTGATTCTATAAAAACCAACACATAGAAAGTGATAACACTTTTGATAGTTCTGAAATTTTGAACTCACTTTATAACTAAGTTTTGCTTCAGTTTTTTTCCCCTTCACCCAAATAGATACTGTATAAAACACTCTGGAAGGATAAAGAAACTGATAATATTGTTGGCCTCCAAAGGCAGGAATTAGGTGATTGAGGGACTATGGGAGGGAGATTTTTCACTCTCATACCCTTTTGTATGTTTTGAAATTTGAACCTCTTAAAATTTTTGAAATATTAAAAGTAAAACAAAACTTCAAATGAACAATGCAAATTATGTGCATATCTATGAACAAATTCAGAAAGCAGGAAAAAACATACAAGAATGAACAAATGGAAAGCCAGCTCTGAGTTAGCAGTTTCAATTAGCATGTGTGTAAACAGTGAAAGTACAGGCGGATGTAGGGACAGATAACTAACTTTAATAAAATAAGCCTTAAT